ACACTTTGTGAACTTGTGTACTGTTGTAGGAAGCACACTAATGAAAGTGTTCAAGTGTACAGTGATGGAACAAAGGAGAAAAGCAGTTTATGGATGTTCAGGTAGTCTCACAGTGGAAAAAATACATAATCTGGATTCTCATGGATAAGTACGTATGTGACCAGCAGGAAAATGAGAGTAAATAGTAGTCTTAAGCAGGAGATGTAAAAAAGACAAGAATCTGTTAAAGTAGTGAACACAAAGTTAGGATGTAGCCTATGAAGGATCGAGGATAGGAAATAAGCTTTAGACAGGGACCAGTTCATTATGGCCTTGTGTTCCTTGCTAAAGATCTTGAAATTTATTCTGTAGCCAGGGAGCCAAAGGGAAGGGCCATAGCAGAGACCAGTAGTATTATTTAAAAATCCAAGGAGAAGGCAGTGTGGGCAGTGACTGTGAGGACAGAGAGAAGTGGCAGGTCTGAAAGACACTGAATTACTGAGATTTACCTGTGTATGTAGAAAAGTGGTCTGGGTCCATGCTGAGGTTGATTGGACTGTTAGAGGGCACTCAGGAAAGCAAGAGGTGGTTTCAGGAAGCATGTTTGGTCTGTACTTGTTGAATGAAGTCGGCCATCGGAACATCCAATAGAAGTATCAGTAGACATAACGAAACTAGAGTTGAGAACAGCTAAAAGGAAGTTAAAAGTATGAGAATTTGTGGAAAAGTGACCTATAGGTATGACGATGTCACCCAAAGAGAGTGGGGCAGGTGGAGGAGAGTATACCCTGAGGAATTCACACATTTTCAGAGGGATCAGGAGAGGACAAGAGAGAAGCAGAGGTTGCACGGCCGAGAGTGGCCAGGTGCCACAGCGGTGAATGGGAAAGACGAAGTTGTTGGGTTTTGGCAGTGAAGACACCTTACAGTGACCTGGGTAGAGGCAGTCTCAGAGTTGTGGGGACAGGGTGCAGTGTTAGATCTGAGGCGAGAATTGGAGCTTTCACTTCTAAATGCTTAAGTATAGGGAAGGTTGTGTTTGTTAAATTATATGTGAGGCTACTTGATGTTAGTTTTTGGATTTGAATTTATAAGGCCAAAATTGTTGAAGCTTTTAGTCTTCTAGGTGCTTTGTTTTTATCTTTTGATGATTGCCACTAAATACGCAATAGTCCTGAACATTGCCTTCATAAAAGTGTGATTTCTTAAAACTGTAGAGGCAAGCAAAAAAGCAGAAACTTTTGCTAATATATTTCTGTTAAAAACATTCCTTAGGTAAGTTAAGAATGCTTACTAATCATTAGGTTTATAAAATAAATGGGAAGAATAAATACAGACTATTAAATTCTTTGGTTATTAACAGTTGGCTTACCCAAAGGGATATATTTAACTGTTCTCAAACTCAGTTTAATCATTCAGTGTTTTTTCAGGAGCACACGTGTGTTTGTGTAAGGCTCAGAAGCCCCTCTGAAGCAGTGTGCGTGATGCTCAGTACTGCCATGCTCGGGATCTCCGAGCAGCTTGACATCCAAAGCTGCTGTAGGACGTAATTTTCTTTCATTTTAAACAAATACTTGACAGCTTAAGTGAGGAAGGGCCATAATATCCATTCTCAATTTTTTGCTTATAGACTATATGTTACTACTATTTCTTATGACAGAATTAGAGGGGAGGAGAGAAGGCAACATGATTATCTTTTTTCACTTATTTATTTGCAAAGCATATTCTTAGGATTGTCTTTTCTTAGTGAGTTATTGGCCTTGAAGCCAATTTCTAGCTTCTGCTGAGCTTTTCCTTCCATAAAATTTTTAGAAATGAATCTGTAGTTGTTCTCTTATGTAAATAGAGACCATATTTATAGCCTAATATAACACAAGACATTGCTGTTAAGAGATTTCTAAATTTAAAGATAACCTGAACCAAAACTTAATTTCTTAAATGCATTCAAATAGACCATATTTGAAATAATAATTCTGTAGCAATATGCTTTTTATAGAAAATGATTTTATTATCTTATTAAGTATCACAATAGTCAGGGGTTCATCAAAAATACCTACTCAGAATTCTTCAAATATTTTATCCTTTTTCTGACAATCTGTGGGATTTTTTTTTCCCCATTGGTTTAGTTTAGAAGTTTTTCCACTGAAGCTATAAGTTGGTGTTTATAATTTGCAAAACAGTATCTTTTATCAAACATATTCTGATAGTCTAAATATCGAGTTACATTCATGAAGTGTGAACGAGTGGATGTTAATCATCTACCTTCCTAAATAGCTCTGTCCTGTCCTTTTCATCATCAGTGAAGGTTCAGTCTTCATTATCTCCTGTCTTCTCCACATGATAATTGAGAACTTTGTTTATTCAAATAATGTAATTCATGTTCGCTGTAGAAAAATTAAAAAACATATCAGCATAATGAAAATAGAAATTGCTTTGTTTGAGATGAAAGATCTTGAGGTTTTACTCTACCCTATTTGCAGGCTAATTAGTTTCATGGACTCCAGCAGAAGATATGAGACTCCTGGGTCAGATAGAAAAGTTTTTTTTTCACATAGCCATAGCAGTAGCCATATAGCAGTGTTTGTGTCTGTTGTCAGAGCCCTATTTCTCACAAAGGCATGTAGTGAAGGCCAGTGACAACTACATATACAGTGGATTGTGTAACGGGAGAGGAACCCCAAATCTTTTTAATGGGAGGTAAATCTACCTGACCTTAGCCCTAAGGAGAGAAATTAATATATTGAAGAGTAAACAGATCTGATCTACCCTTTGCTGCAGAGGAAGACACTGTCTCTGTCTTCCAAGGCTGATCTGTATACAGATAACTTTGAAAAGATTGAACAAAGGGATTTATTTAGTGCTTCTGTTTGCTAGATGTACAGAAATGCAAGAAAGCTGTGGTGGATTGTCTCCCAGCACACCTTCAATGCCATTACCCACAGCCATTAACATTTTGATTTATATCCATCAAGGGTTTATATATGTATATATATTTTAAATTATCTCCAGGTAAATTTATACCTCTTCTTTTTTCTATCTTCTTGAGTTGGTGAAGACTGCCAGCACCTTGTTTAGTATCAGCAGTGATAGAAGGTCATTCTTGGCTAACTGTTAATACTTTCATGCTGTGTGTGATGGCTGTTGTAGGTTATTTTAAGAAAAACAGTGTAAATTAAAAGCACTTAACATTTTAAAATGAAAAAATCTGTTAAGTTTATTATGTCATAATATGAAAGAAGAATGTGCCAATGACCTTCTCCTGAATAGACAAGAGTATTTATATTAATATATAAATACTATTTGATAATATAGAAATTTCAGGACAATCAGAAGTAACTGTTTCTTTTGAAAGTTACTTTCCCCAGAACTGAAAATAATTTTTAGTGTTAAGATTCTCACAGAAACACTTTGGGTAACAGTTTTAAGGACAGTTTTACTTGAGAACAGAGTAAGTTGGTAGCAGGTAAGAATATTCACACTTAAAGTGAAAGTTGTTCAGTTGTGTCCAATTCTTTGGGACACCATGGACTATAGCCTGCCAGGCTCTCCCGGCAACAATACTGGAGTGGGTACCCGCTCCCTTCTCCAGGGGATCTTCCCAACCCAGGGATTGAACCTGGGTCTCCTGCATTGCGGGCGGATTCTTTACTGTCTGAGCCCAAGAATACTGGAGTGGGTAACCTGTCCCTTCTCCAAGAGATCTTCCCGACCCAGGAATCGAACTGGGGTTGCCTGTGTTGCAGGTGGATTCTTTACCAGCTGGGCTATCTTAGAAGCCCTGTGTGAATATTCACACTAGTCACCAAATTATCGTATAGGAGAACATGATTGATATAGTCTTGTGAACACTTTTCATGTAACATATTTAACACTTTGGTTTGTTTCAACTTGTTTATGTCATAGAATACTATCTTAACAGATATGCAAGGTAGAAGGGACTTCTTAATGTTTTTTTTAGATCCTTTTGTTAATAACAAAATATTTGTATTCCTAAGGCAGATCTCTTGAACTTTGTTGGCTAACCTTTTTATTAATCATTCCTGTTTACTTCTGATACTTTGACATCTGGGGCCTCACTGATCTTGAGCAGACTGTCCTTCCCAGGGCCACTTAGTTCCCAGAGAAAATAAATAGCTCATTTGTGACCACACCTTTCATTTGCAAACCAGCAATCCAGGGTTCATCCCTGACCACCAGCTCTAGCAACTCTCATACTGTGGCACTGTCCCCCTGCCCTGACGGTTACCCAGAATAACCATCAGGTACCAGACAACTAGAGAAGTGACATGTATACCTCAGAGCCTGCACAAGTTATGCGGACTAGCCAACCCTAAACCTGCTTGCTTTTCTAGCTTTTTCCTGTGGAAGCCACACTAAAGCTTCCACGTGCCTTTCTTTCCCTTCCTCTGCCTCCCCGAACTGGCTAGGTGCTTCCCCAGGAGAAACTGTGTTGCACGTGTGACATGCCCTCTTTTCTTGGGAGCTGTGAGTGACAAACTCTTTTTGAACTGGCAGTGGCCTCCTGACCTATTAGCCTCACTATGCCAGAATAATAATAAAATTGACCATTTAAAACAGCATTGTAAGCAAAAGGCATGCCTGTGAAGGTCCATTTCATTAGCAGAAGTGAAAAGACAGCTCAAGAGGATTTTCCTTTACACGTGGGAAATAATTTGATAGTTTTATTTTTCAGTAATCTTTCTGCTCAATTCAATCTAGAATTCTTTTTCTGATTTATATATTTGTTTATTGGATGATGTCTATCTTAGATATAGAGTTCTATTATAGTCAAGATATCTTGTTTTACTGTTATTTTAAATTATATTACTAAATGAAAGGGAATATGAAACAAATTAGAAAACATGTTGTTGAAAGTGGGCCTTGAGGACATTGAATATGATGGTAGTTTGTAATACCCTTTCAACTTTTGTGTATAAAAGTTTCCTTCATAAGGAATTTTTTAATATTGTACTGCTTAGCTAGTATCATTATAACTTTATTCATGTTTAATTTTTTAACAGAGTAAAGACAAGATTGCATCCTATAGCAAAACTCCAAAAATTGATCGAAATGATGTGGGCAAGGAGATGAAAGAGAAATCATCCATGAAACGTAAACTTCCTTTTACCATCAGCCCATCAAGAAATGAAGAACGAGATTCAGACACAGGTAGGAAAATTTGTTGTTTTCTAGTAAAATCATTATCCTTCTTTTACTGTGATTTTATCATTCCTTTTGTACTACATTTTATAGAGAAATATTTGTATTTCAGAATTTCAGGTTTATCATTGGGGCAGAAATTCATATATTCCTTGCCCAAATATAATTTCTATCATAGATAAAAATAGTTTTTTTCTTAATCTTAGTGTTCATTATAGACCTCTTACCATTTTAAGAACTTGGTTTCTTGGGGAGCATTTCAGTGATGATAATTTACTCTAAGTTACATGGATCTTTGATGTGCTAGATTTGAGAAAGAGTTGTTCAGTTTTTGTGGACAAATTATTGAACCCACCAAAGGAAAAAAAGCTTAGACATTTTAGATTCAGAAATGAATCAGAAATATGTCCCTTCCAAAAAAAGAAGAAAAATATTGAGGCTGCCTCAGTCCAATTCATAGTACTTTTTTCCTCAAAACTCTCACTGTATCAGGAATGATACTTGACATCGGTCAGTCCCAGTTATTCATAATAGATTAGAACCTTATGACCACTATCTATAAATACTAGGGTGTATTTTAGCCCTGAGATAGTAATTTCCTAAAACTCATATGAACTTGAATGTTTGTTGTATGTTTATCATAATCGTTTTATCCCCTGAATGAAGTATTAATAATGAACTGTTCTTAAGAATGTTTTAGTTTTTAGTTTCACTCTCAGAAAAAAAAATCAGTATTACATTCTAAATTTATGTACAGAGATTATATCCTACTTTTATCTTTCTAGCCACCTTAGTCATCAATATAGAAATAATCTTGACTCCAGAATCTTTGAAAATACCCTAAGGACTTTTGAAATGCGTTATGCTAATATAGCTTTAGAAAATAACCTAATTTTAGTGTACACTTTGGTGGTAGCTAGGTTTCCTTTTGTGTATTTGGCTATTTCTCTTAGCTTGAATTAGAAGTTTTGCTCTTTTTTTTTAAGTAATTAAGAAATTATGTGCTTTGTTCATTTTAAGTTACACTGCCTTCTAAAGGTTCGGATTTTTGTTTGTTTTTTTTTAAGCCTGGCCCTCCTCATTTTTCAGCATTGTTTTCAAGGTTACGAAGTCATTTAGCTGAGAAGAAAGTGCTCATGTGCCTTCAGATATACAGGCTTTAATTTGTCTCAGACTTTCTCCTTGGAAGTCCTTCTGCTAGTCATTTTTAAAGTACTTAAATTAACGAGGTTGTTTTGCAGTGACAGTATTCTCTCGTTAGTAATTTGAAGAAGGGACTTAGAAAAATTCAAAGGTTGTTAACATGTTTTTCAAAATATATAAGATTTCAAAATAACACACTTCCCAGGAGAACCCTTGTTATTAGATCAGGTGGGTTATTTGTCTTTCATTTAGTGTGAAATAAAGGAGAAAGACTTAGGAAGACATGAACTTTAGGCACTGAATGAACATAGTCTAATTCATATATTATTGATGGGATTAATGCTTTTCTCTGCTACAGTCTTTCCACTATTTGAATTTAATAGGGCATTGTAGCTCTCTCTCAGACTTGCGTAGTATGAACATTTTTTTTAAAAAGGTCACATGCTAACATTAAATAAGATTTTGATGGATTTAAATATATGTCTGTAGTTTTGGTAGTCTGAATTTATAAATTTTAGTAACAGATGAACGCCTTAGTTTCGCATGAATGCACATACACACCACACATCCAAAGCATTGAGAAGAATTTCCCCAGGCCCAAGGAAAAATGTCTTATTTACAATCAAGCTGTCTTATTTTCATAATTTTAAAAAAGAGTCCAGAGTACCATTAATGGCTGTTTCAAATATGAATGATAAATTATAGTACCAAAACTCATATCTGACATTGATCTTTTTAATATTCTAGATCATTAGCTGAAACTATACAGAATAAAGTATAGGAGGGAGAAATACAACATATATGACAACACTTAATCTAATTAAAGTTCTCTAACGTGAAGAAAAAAAACACAGAAATCAGAGAATGGACAAAAGATACAAGCAGGTAGTTCAGAACACCAGAATTACAGTTGACAAAGAAATATATGAAATAATAGTAGTCAAGGAAATAGAATAATGACTGACAAAATTATCATTGGTTAATCATACAAGGGCTTCCTTGGTGGCTCAGCTGGTAAAGAATCCACCTATAATGCAGGAGACCTGGGTTTGATCCTTGGATTGGAAAGATCCCCTGGAGAAGGGAAAGGCTACCCACTCCAGTATTTCTGGCCTGAAGAATTCTGTGGACTGTATAGTCCATGGGGTTGCATAAGAGTCAGACACAACTGAGCAACTTTCACTTTCATTAAATCATACAAACTGGTCACTGATAATTACTTAAGTTATAGAACTACCTTGATGTAACAACCTGTGTTAAAAACTAAATTTATTAACATTTGACTTATTCTTTCTTTTGGCATTTATTCAATAATAATTATTGATGAGAATGAAAACTATCTTCAAGTGTATTTCTCTCAACTTTATAATAGGAAAAAAACAGGAAACAGGCTGTCAGGAAATAAAGGATTTGTTTAATTATGGTAAATACTGAGGAAATACCTTTTATCCTTAAAAATAATATTGTAGAAGAATAAGCAGTATGGAAAGATGTTCATAGTATACAAATTAAAAAAACAGGTTATGAAAGAAAAAAACAGGTTATGAAATATGTACTGTTTGCATTATGTCATGTTCTTTATATTTGTCTATATGCTTATGCACATAGATATTAACACACAAAGAGAGAAAATTGTTTAAATATAAAGATTGTTTCATTGTAGAACTAAACCTAAACCTAGTGAGTTATTAAGGGTCCTGAATAAAAATGTAAATATTATGAACCCTGAGTTAGTGAAAAGTAAAAGAATAGGGAATGGGGAAAAAGGAGAAAAAGCTGAGTGCTACTCAACTCATCATCTCTCATGACAAGGGATTAACTGAAATTGTCTAAAACTGAAATTTTTTTCAAAATTATTGCTTAAATCTTTTAATCTTTCCGTATTTAAATTTTTATCTGTATATTTATATATATGCCTGTGTTTATATTTTAGCATATGAATCTCTTGTAGAGAAGAAGTGATTCCTTTAGTTCCTTTTCTTTTTATGTTGGATTAAACTAAAGTTAATCTTACAGATTTTTATTTAAAGATCACACATATGTATGGTATTTTCTTCCTCTTACATAAATTGATTTCTCTCTCTCTCTCCCCTGATCCCTCTGTCTTTACGTGCATTTAGAAAGGTACCTTGCATGACACTCAGGAGATGTTAGCATGTTGTTTCCAGGATTAGGGATGACTTGTTACGTTCTTCTTTGTATTCTTTTATATGCCTTGAATTTTTAACATGGCAGACATACATTATTTTTATAAAACAACCATCATTTTTTTTTAAAGACATTCATATTGTCCAAGAAAGATTCAGTGGTTATCATAATCAGCAATAATGCCATCGGCCAGATGAGTCACTGCTCGTCTTCATTTTGAGATAGCCTAGTGTGTCTTAAACTCTTTAAATTCTCAATTATTTCATGTTTATTAATTTTTTAAAAGATAGCACTTTCTAGAAAAGTAGTTGCTTAACTAGACAGATAATATTTTGGGGGAAATTAAAGCATAATTCGAAGTGTTGCCCATGAGTTCTTAGAGCTGTATCATAATTGTCTTCATTTCAACAAATCTCCAGGATAATTACTTATATCATTCCAGTATCTAGCCCACATTATCCTATCCTATTAGAGAATTTCTAAAAATTTTGTTCATAAAATGTTAAGAGGCTTGTCTTTATGTAACTCACAGCCTATGGAAGTAACTACTTCTGATCTAGAAAACAAATTGTTTCTTTACAGCTACATCATCAGCTTGCTTTATCACAATTTTTTAGCTTTTACTTTCAGTCTTTCCCAGCCTAGAATCCAGACAAGATAAGTTATCACAGTTATAACAGAGAGGTCAGAGCCTAGTGTTTGTTAACCAGGGGCTATTGAGTCCGACAGACCAACTTGAGTTCTTGCTGTGGCCAGATTAGCTGAGTTCCTTGTAAATCCCGTTTGTCTCATCTGTAAAAGTGCACATATAATACCAACTTCAGAAATTGTGATCTCTGAGTGACATAACATATAAAAGCAGTTTGCAGTATATTAGTTAAAATAGAAAACTGACTTAGAGATTTTTCGTCTACTGCAGTAAGAGCAGGCATAGGCAGTGCAGCAGTTCAGTAATACCGACAAGGACTAGGTTCCTTTCATATTTCTGCTCTGCCACCCTTAGCTTGTATATAGGCTTTGTCCTTCAGCATTTTGCCTTATAGTCACAGGACATCCTTCCTGGGCAGGAAAGACCAGTGTTGCTTTTTACTCTTGAAACAACCTCCCTAGAGACTTTTGCCTGCACCTCAACTGGTTAAGCTCTACTAGTTACAGGAAAGTCTGAAAAGTTGAATATTTTTGAGCTGGGTATATTGTCACTCTGATCAAAGTTGGAGTATTCCTATTAATAGGAAGAGGATAATGAATATTTAAAGTAGGCACCTTATAATACTGATATGGCTTCCCTGGTGGCTCACTGTTAGAAAATCTGCCTGCCAATGCAAGAGACATGAGTTTGCTTCTTGGGTTGGGAAGACCCCTTGGAGAAGGAAATAGCAACCCACTCCAGTGTTCTTGCCCAGGAAATCCCATGGACAGAGATCCTGCCAGGCTGCGGTCAGTGGGGTCACCAAAGAGTTGAACATGACTTAGCAACTAAACAACAGCAAAATATTAATAACTGATAACTGCTGTTATCTTTAATAGTTGCTCATGTCTCTACTGAGTGAACTTTATTCCTGCTCTGTCCACCATAAAACCATACTAATTCTCTTTCCTAGTCTAATGGCATTCATTGGATGCCATAACAGTTCTTTAACATGAAAGTACTGAACTTGACTGTTTGAGGCTACACATGAGTGAGTCTCTTCTTGGCCTCCAGCCTACATTTGAGTTATTTTGTTATGAGTAATGCCATAAGAGTGTCTTTCCAGATTGTGTTTTTGTTATACCCTGAATTTTTTCTTTCTTATTCATTCCAAGAGTAGGGTTATAGGGTTAAAAGGATACAGCGTTTCTATGACATTTCTCTAAAATAATTATATGTTGTTACAAAATCTTCCAGCAGTATATTTATGTTCTTTAATCTCAAATAGCATCAGGGCACTTGTTTTGTTTTTGTTTTTTTTTTTTTTAGGTTTGATAGATCTAATTATCTATAGTGATAAACCAGTAGTATTTCATTTTAGTTTGCATGTTTAAGTTAAAAAAAAATTCTTTACTTTTTAAAAAATGTTGATTTCTTCTTAATAAGCATTATCTATTTGCTTGCCGCATTTTTTCTAGTGGCATATGTAAGTAATATGTGAATAAATGTGGAAGGAGAAGATGCAGAGAGGCACAGTATGCTCCATTCCCCAAGGCCATGGTCGCAGTTGTAGAGTGTGTTCATATACATGCTCTGAACTCAGTCTCTGCCGGCCATCCATCAAGGCCTGCTTCCCTGAGGCTTTGATGCCATTGAAGGATCTACCCTATTTAGTGACTCAAGCAACTTTGAAGAGGTCAACATTTTAAAAAAGAAAATAAATGTTATTTTTCTGATAACTGTGTTAAAACTAACAGATAAAATTAGTGTTTTGATTAATAAGGATACTCCTCTTTTGGTGATTTTCATGGAGATTGTATATTATAGATTTATTTTTGTCCCTTCCCCCTGATAATTTTCTAGCTCCTTAATTAAATCTTTATAGAATACATGTACAGATGCCCCAAATACGAACATACTTACTTGAGTAAAAGCCAAAGGCTGTGTGAGGTCAGGATAGATTAATTACTTCCAGAGGAAGGTTTGGATAAACTATTAAACTGCTTTCTTATATTAATGAATATAATTGAAAGCAAGTTTATTTTACCCCTGTTCTTTAATTGATCGCAATAATATGATCTGCTTTCACTTATCCATTTAATTCAGTTTGTTGGTGCAATGAATTAGTTGCCACTTTGCTTTGCAACCTGTGGAGGCCTTTTTAAATTTTTGTTTATCTTGAAACGAAATGTCAAATATTCTTCATAGAATTCTTCTAGTTGTTAACTTAATGGTTTTGTTAACAATTACAGAAAGCAAACGTAATTGTTTATTGAAAGGCTTGTGATTCAGTCTGTTTACCCATTGGCTGTAGAATTGGTCTAAATGTTATTTTATTATTGATTTCCCTTTCAATTGAGTGAGCTTTTTCATCACTAAACTTTTAGGCTTATCTTTTTCTGCAAATATTATGTTTAGGAGTTACTTGTTCTCTAAATTTTTTTCCCCCAATATTTTTGTTTTTTACTTATACCTAACTGAATTCATGAATAATGTCTATAGTAATCATTCTGGAAAAAAAAACTATAAGCCAATAAGTTGAGATTGTAAAGATTAGAATAATATTATTTTAAGTTATAATAGCATCTTGTTTGTAACTAAAAATATTTGCTCTGGCCATACTGTCCAAAAGTTAGTTCTGCATATTCTTGATTGTCTAATTTATTGAGTTGTTAGGCAGCATTCCATTTCTTAGCTGATAAATTTTGTTTTGCTTTAGCCTGCTTTCTTTCTAAGAGGTGGTCAGTGTAATAATTCATAGTATTTGAAATGTTTATAGTTTATAGAAATATTTGGTCTGGAATGATACTGTAGTCCAAAATGTTCTATTGTCTTCTGAGTAGTTTTGGCATTCGTAGAACAAAAAGGATGATTCAAGTCTTTATTCAGGTTCTCTAAAGGCAAATTCTAAACAGAAAAGCAGTTACAGAGTACTGTCTCTTTTATCAGTATTCAGAGATTGAAAAAATATTCTCAAGAAAGATGATATGTTTTAGTAAGCAGCCTCAGTAATAACTGTTATTGCAAGCTACATAGTTGACTTTCTTCACATTAAGACCAAAGAAACTGAAATCTTAGGTATTGGCCAAACCTGTGTTTTAAATGTACTTTTGGCTTTACCTTAAAAGTAATCTTTTGGAAAAACAGTGGTACATCATTGTGGTCTTTTGAAAAATGTTCGTTTGTTGAATTCTGCATTTCCCTTCGTATGCTTTTTTCTCTTCTCCTGTCTCTTCTCATTCTGTAGATTCAGACCCAGGACATACAAGTGAGAATTGGGGGGAGAGACTTATATCTTCTTACAGGACATGCTCAGGTAACTAGATTATCAGGGGTTCCTGTTAGCCAGTGGTTTCTGTCACATTTATAATTAATTCTTGTACTATAAATAACTTATTTTCAAACCAGCATATAGATGTCTGTGGTTGAATAAGTGACTATATGAGTGACATAAAATTTTCCAGCCTCATTTAAGAGCTCCCATGTACCATGTCCAAGACGTGTTCTGTGTGGATGCTGCAAGCAGGATCCTGCACACAGCCACTTAGGCATGCAGCACAGCTGGGGGTCCATTCACGGAGAAGAGTATGAGAGGCACACCCTTGGAGCTGTGCAGCGACCCCTGTGGGAAGGTGCCCTGGTCCTCCACCTCTTAGCTGTACACCCTTCACGCGTTATACCACACATAGTGATTTTCATAGACAGTATCATCTTACTCTTCAAGCATGCAGTGTGTTTTTTAAAACAAATTTAAAAAATTTTCAGTTGACCTCTTTAGTCTGTTGACTTTGCTGCTGCCCCTGTTGAATTTAAAAATGGATTAAAACACCAAGTATCCCCTAGTATGTGAAAACTAAATTAGCTAGGTGTTTTGATTCTTTTTTTTTCTACTTTTTTATTAGCTTACATTCTTATCTCTGAACTTTTTAAATGTAAAATATTGTTTAGTCCCTCAGTGTCCAGTTTTTAGCATATGGCCTTTAACTGGAAAAACTAAAATAAAATTTCTGTTTCCAATATACTTTGTATTCATTTTATAAATTTGTGGAGTTGGTATACAGCAAAGCAATTATTCTTAAAATCACGCTGAAAACTGTTAATTGACCTGATAAGTCAGTAATACTTAGTTATCAAAATTGGGCAATGGCTTGTCTACAATCAGCATTAAATTGAACAGATCTACACTTACTGTGGAGTTAGTGGTACTTTGCTAAAATGGGGCCCCTGAGTACCAAGGCACACCTAAAAGAGCAGTATGTGATGAAATTGCCTGTGATCTGAAGGTCATGGCTGGAAATCAAAAGATATAAGCACTCACCTGTCAGAAACTGTAGATATTGCAGAACCATCTGTATTTGAATTGTAGCTCCCACGGTTTCATTCCTTATACTGTGACTGCTTTGTGGGAAAATGTCATATTTCTGAGACATTAGTAGGCTTATGAACTAGTTCCCCAAGAAAAACATTTTTGTCTCTTCTCAATATACTTAATTGAGGTGTGACAGTGTTGAGCTTTCTGTTTATTCTGATAAGACAAGGGAAGAAAGTACTAATTTTCAGAATTATAAGACTGAGATATCTCTGTAATTCTAAAGGTCCTCTGAACCTTAAGTAAAGAATACTGGATTGTTGAAAAGGCTGTATCTGTTTTTCTTTAGTCTTAAGTGAACCACCTGGATTTTTCTTTAAAAATCTCTTAAGGTGGTCTTCCCTGGTGGTCCAGTTGTTAAGAATCCATGCTTTCACAGAGTTTTGTTGAATGGTTTCAACATGAAAAAGCACACTTTGGTACATACTAATCTAAGATTTATGATTTTTAAAAATGGTATAAAGTTATCTCTAATCTGTCTTACACCACCTACTGTTCACTTACCTTATTTTCCTGTCTCATGTAAAGCATGAACTCAAGACAGATGGCTAAGGTAACTCAGAGAAAAAATAGTGTTCATATAAATGCTAGTATGAGTTTTTGATTGAAAATTTGGAATATATCCAGTTTGTTTATTCTTTTCCAAAATATAATATCTTTGTTCATTTGCAGCATGGAATTTTAATAATGAATTCATTATTTAAAGTTTTTCTTCTATAAACTGAGTATCACTTTAAAGTATATTCTTTTTAGGAGGTCATTGCAAGTATAAAGGAACATAATTGATTTTTGCTGTTTGATGTTATTCTTATTGAATTTACTTTTTAAAAATTTTTTGGCCACTCCTTCATGGCACATGGGATCCTAGTGCCCTGACAGGTATCTAGCCTCCATCCCCTGCATTGGAAGTGCAGAGTCTTAACTACCGGACTGCCAGGGAAGTCCTCAAGCATTTTCTTCTTAAAACATTGTGTTACTAAAATGCGATTAATACCAGACATCAAGAGTTTGTAAATGAGAAAATAAAAACTTTTTTCCAAAAATTTTTAAGTGTTTTAAGGATAGACATGTATTTTTTATTTTGCTTCTTCTAATTACTAAACTGTACTTTTTTTTCTTAAAACAACTTCCTTCTTTAAACTGTTATAAGAGTTTTAATCTAAGTGAGAAGTACATTCATTATATTTAAAGATTTGGTATTCAGATCAACAACTATTAAAACAACAGTTGTGGTTCCTCATTAAATCTGAGAACCAAACCATACAGAACATTATTAGGAAAAAGAATGTGTTTCAGGAAAAAATAGGTTTCTCCAAAAGACCTATTTGGGGGGTTATATAGTAAATTTAGTAAGTTAGGTGTAACACTGCTGAAATGGGTTTTATACTAATTAGATCGTTAATAAAATGAAAAGTTAGAAAATAGTATATTAGCACTATTAATAAAGGCTGACTTTAATAATTTTGAAATTTTTTATTTCTGTTATGTAAAATTCTGCAAATATCAACAAAATGGACATTTTCGGAGCTATTGAATTTTGGGTGATTTGTGGCCAGCAGAGTGTAAAGCAGAACCTTTGATTTTTCCAGGCCTTTAGGATGCCAGTTTGTCCTGATTAACTAAGTGGCACACTACAGGATTTTATGCCTTAAATAATAATACAGTAATATATAAATAGTATCAAACTTTTATTTGTTTTTTGAAAGTTACTAGATCAATAAATGCTTATCTCCTAGAGTAGTCTAACTGCTGTCCACATCTACCTGAGAAAAATGACAGTATTGACTACTACTTGTCTTCTTGCACTCATTTTGCTATTTTACATTTGTTTACAATTTTTATTAATTTATTTATAGTTTTGTAGCTCCTCTCTATACTGCAAACCTAGATCAGTAAATCCCAGATGTTGGTACAGGATTTTCCAGGAAACAGATGCCTAGACAGTTAACAGGCAGCTCATCTCACATGGCCACTTGAATTAATTCCCAGAAATGTCCTTAAGGAAGGAGTAACAGGCACCTATGTTTCTTTGACCTGTGGAATTCAGTTCCATCTGAATTTTCTGGCTTATAATGGGGAATGTTGGCTCCATTGGTCAGAGATTTGCCAAATAGCTAAATCTGAGAACTGGCTTTATGATGGATCAAATCTCTTTGAAAATTTTTTAGACATTTTTGAATTTTTGCAGGATCTCTATTAATTCCCCCGGCCCCTTCCCACATACATATAGAATCTTTAATTTTGCTCAGTTTCAGCTTTGATTAATAGTCTTCCATGTTCAACTATCCTGTAACTTCAATAGAGTGATTTGGTGTTATTTTTCAGTAATTACTCTGTGTGATGTGTTTTGTCTTAAACAGCTCCTTAGAAGATGTACAAATTATTAGTGGAATTAGGGAGGTAATATGAAGGAACATTGCTATATAGGCTTAGGAATAATTGAATAAGATTAGAGTGAATGAAGGAGTTTCAGAGATGTAAAACTAAGGAATGTTTGAAGTGTTCTTTAATAGAAACGATCATTAAAATACAGATCTTACTAGGACTAAATTTCCAACTGTTAAGTAATTTTCTGAAAATTATACAATTAAGATGTTTTTTCCAGAGCATTCAGGGAGAAAATTGCTTATATAATAAAATCCTAGTGCTCTTTTGTCTGCCTATTGCAAGTTTCTCTGTTACTCTTGTTTCTCATAAACATGTATCATCTATTTTTAAAAAGTCTCCTTATGCTTTACTTTTGAGTGCTTAAATTTGTTTCAGATTCTTACATATTTATTAATAATTCCAGAGAAAGAAGGTCCAGAAAAGAAGAAAACAAAAAAGGAAGCTGGAAATAAGAAGTCCACTCCAGTTAGCATTCTTTTTGGTTACCCACTTTCAGAGCGAAAGCAGATGGCACTTCTTATGCAGATGACAGCAAGGGACAACAGTCCAGGTAACACTCACCATCATTGAGTTCCTATGTGTTCGTGGTTTTCTTCACATTGTAGTTTTGTCTTGACAGTTATTTTTAACTACTTTAAATGTTTGTCCTTTCTTGGACTTAATCAGATTCTTGTAAGTTTGTAATCTTAACATGTGTTTGTGTGACAATTGTTTATTGTCTGTCTCATCTACTAGATGAAAAGTTAAAAGTTACACAGGAGCAGGGATCTTGGCTCTTAGCAGACGTTCTGCAAATGTTTGTCTATTAAAATGAGTACAGTTGACCTTTGAACAGCACAGGTTTGAACTGAGTGGGTCCACATACACACGGATTTTTTTCAGTAGTAAATACTGCTGCACTATCCATGGTTGATTGAATTTGCAGATACAGAATTCTGGATTTGGAGGGCCAACTGTAAGTTGCACACGGATTTTCAAATGTGAGGAGGGTGGGTACCCCTGATCCCTGAGTTGTTCAGGGTCAGCTGTTATTTAAAATTGGATCAGTCCACATGAGAAATCTGTTGCAGAACTGTGTGTGCTTTTACCTTACTGCAGAAATTTTTACTTCAGTTTCTGTAAAGCTGCTTCTAGGTTTATAGTTTACTTTTATAGTTATACTTTACTTTTATAGTTAGCATTCTATTGTAAGCTGGTAATCTTATCATGTGCTTTTAGAAGCAAGAGTGTAATTCACGATTTATTGTTTAAGATCTGCTGCAGTCTATTTTGGGCTTCTGTGGTGGCTCAGCAGTAAAGAATCTGCCTGCAGTGCAGGAGACATGGGTTTGATCCCTGGTCCTGGAAGGTCCCCTGAAGAACGGGATGGCTCCCCACTTGTTTTTCTTACCTGGGCAATCCCGTGGGTAGAGGAGCCTGGCAGGCTGCACTTCACAGGGTTGCAGAGTCGGACACAACTTAATGGCTGGACAACAACAGCAACAAAGTTTATTTCAAAAGAAAAAATATCTGCAGTGTATTATGTAAATTTATTTCATGTTTCATTTCACATTTCCGTTTAAGATGTTGTGCTTCTTGTGTGTGTTTGTGTTTATTCAAGTATCAATAGTTTGCCCTCCAGAAATGATTAAAGGTGGCTTACCAGCAGGATGAAGACAAAGAAGGACCAACCAACCAACTTGCTCATTTATTAAAAGAGTTTAAAAGGTAGATAAGGTCCAGACAGCTGGGCTGGGATAGTTACTACATTGAGCAGTGGACTTAGTTATACATTCTGGTAGTTAAAAACAAGAGTTTTAAGTTGTATAAAGTTCTCATTGACCAATGCAAGAAGAAAGTAAATTTCTTTGGAGAAATCTTTTTCTTTTGAAAAGAAAAGTTCCAAAAGTTTGGAAGAAAAATTCTTTTCTTCAGGGCATCTTTGTATAACACTTGGGGTAACATGACAGACCCTGTTGAAATGCATTGACAGGAACACAATTTTTCTAGTGAACTTTTCCAGTGTTGGCTCTTTGTTATTAAAAAATGGGACAGCTTGGTAAAATTCTTAGAGTTTCTATAGATCATAGTTTCCATTAAAACGTAAGTGTATCTGTATCTTTCACTAACAAGAGCGTGCTAGGGCTTTCTCCTTAAAGTGGGGCATGTTGTTTTGGTTATTCTTCTGCCTTTCCACCCACAACTTGGGGAGACGGGCCAAATCAAAGTTATTTACAGTGTTAAACTTCAAATGTTTCTGTAAAGTGTTGACTCTGACTCAGATTTAATAGCTAGATGAGAAAACTATTGTTTCTTAAAAGTGTTATTTAATACTGTGAACCTCTATCCTTGGAGTAAATTAAAGAATTAATGCAATAAGGCAAGAAGCTAAAAATCTTTCCTCATTTCCAATAACCTCTCCCTTTGAGCTGCAAGCACTATTCATAATTTCTTCTCAAAGTTTTTTTAGATATAAACATGTAAACGTATCTTTTGTTGCTATTTGTTTTTAAATATAAATAAGATTAATACTGTAATACTGTTCTGCAGTTTGTTCTTTTCTTTTAAGGGTATATCAGTCCTTCTTATTAATACATGTATAGAGGGGAAAGCTTTTGAAGTGTCAGCCTGTTTGCCAGCTGATAGATACGGTTGTTAAGGTTCATAGTCTTATCCATTACATAACTCATTTTCCATGTTTATTCTGTTTGCCATTATGGGTAGTACTACTGGTATTTTGTCTGTGTTATATCATTTTGGTATGGCTGAGAAAATTTTCTATGAGTTAATTCCTTGCAAGTTGTTTGAATTTAAAAATGCCTTTTTGTTTTGAAGTTCAATGACTAATTTCCTAAATAAATTATTTGATTATAAATATTGTAATAACCATGTATTCACTCAAAAAATGTTGTGTAAGTACACTGTGTAACAGGAAGTCTTCTAAGCAGTCGAGATACAGTAATGAGTTAGACAAGATTCATGTACTTCTGGAGTGTACATTATAGAAATTCATAGATAAGAAACTGTTACTAACTCGGTGTACTTTAAAATTCAAAAGGTAAACTTTAAACCTTTTTCTTACTGAGAAAAGAGGGGCAATACTTTAGCACTCCCATTGTGGCAGTTTGCAAGGAAGTCATTATATGATGCTAGAAAATTATTTTCTGTAGACTTTTTTTTTTCCCTTAGAGCTGTTTTTTCTTTTAAATAGTTGTAAATTTTCAGAATTATTAACACTGTACATACGTATCAAATCCTTAATTGATTAAGAAACTATTTTTTGTTTTGTTTTTTTCTTAGTTCTGAAATGGGGAGGAGAGGACTTTAAGTGTCATGCAGTTAACTTTCTTGTTTTTAAGCGAGAAACTGGAACAAATACCAAAAGATAGAAATCAAAGCAAAGCACTTTTTTCCCCTCCTTTATCGGCCCATTTTTAAAGGCCTTTTTCTAGACTGTCCTTATTTCTTATGGATCATAAGCTTTATTTCATACTAAAATCATGTATGACTTTAATTTGTACCTAATGTTGGAATACATACTTTGAGTCCAGTACTTTGAATAAGAGGTGTAAACTCTAGCCTTCAATGTCATTTCATCTAGGTCTTGACATAATATCATAACATGCCATGAAAAATGCTTTTTTTTTTTTGCAGTTTATCAAGTTATTCATTGAGCAAGTACTTTCAGAGTAGAATTGACAGAATGAAACATTTTTTTCTTAGTTGGCACATGCAGTATTTGATAACCCTAAAGGAAGATCTACTCTGGGTCATTATCAGATTATCCAAGTCAAGTGTCAGATTGTTTGGGTGAGAACGTACTCCCTCAATCCAAGAAATTAGCACATTACCTGTAAAAACCTTTACATGAATATACAAAATATTTAGTCTAGAACTTTAAACTTTTCTCTTTCTTACAGATTCCACACCAAATCATCCATCGCAAACAACACCAGCCCAAAAGAAAACTCCCAGTTCCTCATCTCGACAAAAAGACAAAGTTAATAAAAGAAACGAACGTGGTGAAACTCCTTTACACATGGCAGCTATTCGAGGAGATGTAAAACAAGTCAAAGAACTAATAAGTTTAGGGGCAAATGTGAATGTGAAAGATTTTGCAGGTAAGACTTGTAATTAAAGACATACTCAGGAACTAAAATTTTGAGATTATCCCCTAAACAGACTCTGGTTTCAATTTAATCAACATTGTTTGTTTCTCTTTCTGAAATAAAAGTGTTCTAAAAGTATACTTTAATGTAAAACTATTTTGGAGTTTGTACATGAAACCCTGATCTCAGGGTTACTGACAATTCCATGTCAGTAGTCACTCAAATTCTTAAATATTAAGCTTCCGTTTTATCTGGCATATTACCATATAATTTTTTCTCTAATTTAGAATAAACATTTTATCCAATTTTTTGATAATCAGGCAAATAAACCTCCAAAAAAAAAGACCTTTGATCCATTTACACTCCCATCAAGAGTATATGGAAGAAAGAAAAAAAAAATGTATATGAGAGAGCCCTGAGTAGGGGAAAGAGATAAATTAGTAGAAGTTTGGGATTAACATATACACACTACTGTATATAAAACATTAATAGATAAGAATCTGCTGTATACAGGGAACTCTATTTAATATCTTGTATTATTGCAAGACCCTAACAAGCTTATTTTGCCCTTTTCTGCTTTTTATTTTATAATTCAGTTGATTTTTATAAATTATAGCAAGTTTATATTCATTAGGTAAGTTTAAATGTTAGTTTAATACTTTTGTCAAATAATCTAGCCCCGTGGGAAATGGTGGCTCAGAAGGTAAAGCATCTGCCTGCAGTGCGGGAGACCTTGGTTCGATCCCTGGGTCGGGAAGCTCCCCTGGAGAAGGAAATGGCAACCCACTCCAGTATTCTTGCCTGCAGAACCCCACGGATGGAAGAGCCGGATAGGCTACAGTCCACGAGGTTGCAAAGAGTCGAACACGACTGAACAACTTCACTTTCATGGGAAATAATACTACTGTGGATGAACGTTCTGTAAAATTAGTGGTTTTCTTAGGTACTTATTTTCAGTAGCTTGTTCATCATTCCTTTTTCCTTCTGTATTGTGTACATTTAGAATTACTGTATCACACATGGTTATAGTAAAAGCATATGTGTTGAATTAGTAGAAGTGAACCATATGTTCAATTAATATTGTAACTTTAGGTTGGACACCACTGCATGAAGCTTGCAACGTGGGATATTATGATGTTGCTAAGATACTGATAGCAGCTGGAGCAGATGTTAACACACAAGGATTAGATGATGACACTCCACTCCATGATTCCGCTAGTAGTGGGCACAGAGATGTGAGTATGACAGGAGGAGCAGTAATACACATCTTCAAAAGATAAATTTAACCCAGAGTAATTTAACTCACTTCTTAGTTGTACAATCTGGTGTCATATTTCATTCATTGCCTGACCAGCTCATTTGTGTTTTGTTTTCCCTTTTTCTACTGTCTGATTGCTAATTCCTATTATGGGTTTAGCATTATCTTTGCATAAAATCTACTTAATTTTATAATTAAGCAACTTGGCAAAATTTTTATTTGAAGGGCCATTCTACTGTCGGATAATTAGATGTAGTGATTAAAGCATATTTTACTTATAAAAATTTTACAGTCATACCTTTTTAAAGATATTAATATTTAATGATTCCTTTGTACATAACATTGTTCTTGAATTTTAGCTGACATTATTTAAGATATTCAGATGCTTATGTATATAAGACATGATTTAATCAAACATGATTATATATGCTTGAAAATTTAATGACATCTTTAAATACCATGTTTGATTTGTTTTGATGCAATATTATGACCCATGCTGGGTTTTAAATTCCATTTGCATTTTCAGTCTCTGGCATATTGACATCAAAGCCTACCCCATCTTTGTTGTAATGAAGCTTATGTTTTAAGCGTGTTTAATGCTTAATGCTTAGTTCCATTACTGTAACCTGCTTATAGCCAAAGCAGATCAACCTAGGGCACTGTTAGCAGTGGTTCTAAAGCAAAGTATTCGGTTCATCAAAGAAGTAGTTTCTGTTTTTCACTTAATTTTGACTTTTATTGACGAATACTTGTGCATAGTTTAGAAAGTTGATAAGTATTGTTTAGCTCAGAAAAATACCTGAATTCTCCCTTGCATCCCTCCACATTTCCCAGTACCATTAGCCAAAAGCAGCTGTTGTGTTTCTTCTCTTCATTTCTAACAAGGTGTAAGCTATTTTGCTTTATTAAATTTTTAGTCTCTAGTTACTGACCCCTGCAAAGGATTTTAATATATATTGCTTTTCTGAGACTCATAGAGTGTACTCTAATTTTATTTTGCCTTGGATTTTTATTTATTACCTTGGTTACTACTCAGCCTTGTTCTAATTTTTCTTATTTAGTTCTCTGTGTAAATATATATTTTGTATTTCCTTACTCTCTCTTTCATAACTCTAAAATGCCCTGAATAAGGTCAGACACATCCATCAGTTCATTGTTTTTGAGAGTATCTTTGTATACAAAATGTCTCGTATCCTGCTTCAGGTGAGACTAGCTGCCCTAGATCTGTGGCACAGATGCTGTCCAAGGATTTCTCTTTGCTGTGAATTTCATGTGGGATTCTCAGTCTCTGTGAGATTTCCAGTCTCTGGCTGGAGTGGTTGTGAATTTGTGAACTACATTGCATTAACTTCTCACAGCAATATTTGTGTGTTTTCACTTGGAGATAAGTGTTGTAAATGATTCATATGTATTAATCACTTTAATCATCACAGTAAATGAACATCCTTTCGTCTCTCTTGTGGATACTGTATGACCCACTACATTCCAGTACCCTTAGCTTCTCCCGGAGTTTGGAGAAACAAAGACACATGAGGTACCATTGGTCTGAGACACTCCCAAGTTTATTAAACTGATAAGAGTCCAAGTTAAGGGATTAAATAAGATAAATGCCAATGTCTTCTTAAGACAAAGTGAGGTAAGGATATATTAAACTGGAAGAGCTGTTGTTCAATACACTCTCTGCTCTCTGGTGAATAACATAGGACATGCTTTCTAACACCCTAGCTCGAATTTTGATGTCACCTCATACCTTTATGCTAGAAAAATCCCCTTTAGTTCTTTCATTAGCAACAAACATTCTCAGCCTTATTTTCTTTTTTGACACAATAAAAATTTCAGGGTCATGCTGCCTGCCTTTTAAAAGCCGCTTTAGTTGAGAAAAAAATGAAACTTGGTGAAGATAGATACAAATTCAGTTCTGGCCTGGCCAGTTTGCCAAATGTGTGGTCTCAAGTTACTTTTTTCCTCTCAACTTCCTTTTTCTCATCCATAATAAATAATACCTATTTAAAGGGGATATTTTGAAGGAAAAAAAGACACTGAGCACATAAACCTACCTTGAAATCTGAAATGTTATAGTAATGTCAGGGTTAGAGATTAAAAGACTACTTTTATATTGTTATTTTTTCAAATATACTCATATTTTAGAAACTAAAACTCAGAAATTAAAAATGTCATTTTCTCATTTAAATCTTTCTAAAAGACTTTTTCATAATTCTCAAGTTCAAATTTTGAAGAAAAATGAAGCCTGTAATGTTATTTTTCCTAAACTGATGCTTACCGTTGTTCCAGTCTCTTTTGCTCCTTTGACAGCTCATACATACCTATGGGATAGCACTTAACTATATTAATTTTTACTCATGTGCTTGTCTGTTTACTGCATTGAATATTGAGTCTTATACATATGTAATTTATGTTCTAGGTGTGCTCTGTTAAATACTGTGCTCACTTCCCTTTTTAAAAAAAGCATTATTGATAGTTTCTCAGACATGAATAGTTCTTCAAATGTTGCATAAAAAGATTTCTTGATTGCTAAATGTAATGTTAAAGAATTATGCCTTATGAGTAAGACATGTTTCTATGAATACAAGTTTCTAAATATGCACATTGCTGCAAAATATTTCCAGAAGCTGACCTTTGAGCTGATGTACTTAGAAGGATTCAAACACTATTTCCAGTCTCCTTCCAGAGGGAGACTGGCATGCTGTTTTCAGGAGACCTTTGCTTTTCCTCCTACCAACATGCCTAGGATAGTAGGAGTCATAATTCAGAGCTGTTGAGGGCTATTTTCTCCTTATTCTTTACTTGTCCCCAAAGAGGAGGAGGGAAATGAGAGCTACCAAAAGCTCATTTGTGTTCATCTGTACCATATGATTCTCCACCAAAGAATTAGATTTCTTCCAGTGATACTCATGATGACTGCAACCATCCATAAGACATTTCTAAGGTGGGAAAAACAGAAAGATAGCAGTTCTGTCCTAAATTATTCAGAGTAAGAGAAGATTGCTTTTCTTAACATAGCTTACTAAGAACCTAATCTCTGGCCTACCTTTCTCAACTGTACTTCATAATATATATTCTTATAGTAGCCCTCTTCCTGGTTCTGTTTTAGATACCACTTACCATTATTTTCTTCTTGTCTCAACATTTTTACCTACTTCTAATATACTGCCTGCTATTTTAAGCAACTTTGTTAGTTTAAATTCTTTTTAGAATAATTTTTTGCATGTGAGGATGATCTGTAAAGTATTGATTATTTAGATTTGGGGTTTTTGTAGCATGCTTGAATGAACTAATTGTCCCATCATAGGAATAAATATTTTTAAAATTATTTCCTAATAGATATAGAAGGCATTCAGCAGTATCAAGATCTTCTATTTTCTCAAGCTAGGACTCTAGCCTAAGGAAATAAGGCTAAAAATGTGGTGTGGGAAATATTTCAACTTGTGAAGATGTTCACTATACCAGTATTTATAATAACGAAAGGTTTTTGCCTTCAGTTACCTTCTCAAACCTCTCAAATGATAGTGAAGTGAGATTTTAAAGAACGTGGACCCACAAGGACAAAGTACAGACGAAACAGGAAACCAGTATTTAGGGAGATAGAAATTTGAGGACTGAGTGGTGACTACATAGAACAGGGTTTGGCAAACTTTCTGTAGAAAGCCAAATAGTAAATACCTCCTTCCTTCTTCCTCTTGCTCTTTTTTCTGTGTCCTCCTCTATATTTCTCCTTTATCGATTTTTTTAAGTATTTCATGAGAATGTAAAAATTATTCTTAGTCAGCAGGCCAGATTTGGCCTACAGACCAAATTTACCAGCTCCTCCTGATTTAAAAAAATCCAAGAAAATTGAAGCCAAAGCCATGTCAGCACAAAATCCCAGAAAAACTGAAGCTCAGCAATTGATGGCTGGGTTCACCTGGAAATGCCTGTTGAATAAGAAAACAAGAGGATTGGATCAAACTGTTTTTGACCCTCATAGCCCTTCTTAACCCTTCACAGCCAGCTGCAAATCTCCCTGGCAGATTTGATTGAAGGTTTATTTTCTAACAAGTATAAACCATGCTGTCTGGACTGACATACCACAAGAATAGTTGGAAGTAAGGATTAAACGTCAGCTTATTAAGACCTCAGTCAAGCAGAATGGTGACAGTAAGGCGTGAATTGAGAGATTTCTCCATAGAAAAGTGAACTAGCCAAGAGAGGCTCCCATGAAGTGGCCCAGGCATATCACATTAGCACAAAGTCCATCTATCAGCAAGTCCTACCTAGTCCTGGAAAACTTACCGTAAGTCTTTTAGTTCCTTAGTCTTAAATGTGGACAGCCATTGATCCCCTGACCTTTGAGAAAGGTCTCTGCTATGGAAGGTAAAGATCAGAACAGGCAAATGGAAAAATAGGAACTTAGAGGATACAGACCAAGAGAAACTTAAAAAAAAAAAACTCATTACCTTCCCCAAAGAGATGAGAGTTTCTTGTAGCCATGAAATAAAAACTGAAGGTTTGCTAAATAAGGAAATTAACAAATTACAAAAAAAAAAATCTCTTAGAAATTAATAAAATGATAACAGGATGAAAAATAGAGTATTGAAGGTTAAACATAAAGTTGAGAAAACCTCCCAGAAACCAGGAAACAAAAAGACAAAGATCAAGGACGGGAAATGAGAAAAAATAAGAATAATTCAGGAGATCCAGTGTCTTAAAGAGTTCTTAGAAGACAGAATAGTGAAAACACAGGACTTTATCAGATAAATGAAAGCAGGAATTTTCTCAGAACTGATTGAAAGGGCAATTGAATGCTCAGCATGACTGTTAAAAAGACTGAGATCAAAATTCATTATCCTGGGATTTCTGAGCCATAGGGCAAAGGACGTCCTCCAGCTTACAGAGAGAAAAAGCAAATTCCATGTAAAGGTAAAAAATCAGAATGATGTCAGACTTTTCAATAACAGCACTAGAAGCTAAAAGATAATGCTCATGCCTTTGAAATTGGAGGGAAAACTCTTCTATGTCCAAAGTAAGTATTACTCAAGTGAGGATAGAGTAAAGGTATTTCCCAACATGTAGAAAAAAAATTTCAGATTATTTAACCATTTCTCAAGAATCTCCTGGAGGTAGTGTTTCAACAAAATGAGGGAGTAAACCAACGAAGAAGATACGACCTGAAGAATTCAACACAAAACTGAGGAAAGGATGTTTCTAGGATGATAGGATGAAGGAAGATGACAGATGAGGAGCAAATCTAGACAGCAGCCAGTCCATTTTAAAGTGAGTGAGAAGGCTTGGAGAAGGGCTTTAACAGAAACAGTGGTTCTGTGTGGAACTGAAGGGATCTGCGCTTGTAGCAGAATGGGGATTAGTTAAAGATAAGTGTGTAGAACACTGAGCAAATGAAAAATGAAGATAGTTAACTCTGGGATAAAATAACTTGTGTAAGAATGGAAATTTAGTCATGGTATGCTACTTGGTTCAACATTTATATTAGTCATAATAACACACAAAATAATATGAATGTCTTGGAAAGTTAGGAGGAGGGGGAATGGTTGTGTATAGGAGTACAGGGGTGGAGTTGGTAAACAAGAGTTGAGTCCCTGTCTTCCATTGTAAGACAGTAGACAATACCGAAAGCTGAAAAATACAGAAGGAGCATGCTAGGTGTGATACTTAAGCATTCGGAGATAAATATCAGGGACAATTGTTTTTCACTAGCACCCTTGGAAAGCTATTTTATCTTATTAAAAAACATGTAATTTGATGAAAATTAATAAATAGGAAAATTAAATAGTAACGATTGACATGAGTCATTTGTTTTCTTTTTGTATTCTTACATTTCAAGTGTTCTGTTTTGATGGTTTAGTCTTTCATAGCCTAGAAGCAATTTTTCATTTTTATTTCACTGTGAATCATTGTTACTCTTAAATATTTTCATTTGTTAGAAATTCCTAATTTGTAGCATCTTGTTTAATGTTGCTTTTTGAGAAAGATGTGATATACCAGAAAACATCATAGTTGTGTATTGAGAATACAAAGACAAAGATTTCACATAAAGTTTATAGTCTAGGATAAGGGCAGAAACGTGTTAATAAATTATAGTACAGATTTACCTGTGACAGAACACACTCATGTCACTGGAAATAACAGCTCAAAGCAAAAGAGATGTCTATGAAGTAGAATTAATAATACTTCCCACCTGTCCGACGAGGAATATGAGTGAAAAGAACTTCGCTGGTGGTGCGCTAGTGGTAAAGAATCCTCCTGCCAATGCAGGAGATGCAGGTTCAATCCCTTGGTCAGAAAGATCCCCTGGAGAAGGGACTAGCAACCCACTCCAGTATTCTTGCCTGAATAATCCTATGGACAGAGGAACCTGGTGGGTTATAGTCTGTGGGATCAGAAAAGTGAAGGACACAAATTAGTGACTAAACAGCAACAATGAATAAGAAACAAGAATCGGTGATGACTCCCATCTTTCTGGCTTCAGTGATTGGGTATATTTTGGTGCTAGTCACTAAGAATAGAAAAGATAAAAGATAAGGGTGCAAGTTTAATGAACTCTGGGACCAATTGGTTTCAACATTTGTATTAAAATACAGTATATTGACAGAACACTTGGATATTTGGTTCTGAAGCTGAAGAAGATGGCCAAGAAAGAATGAGCATGAGAATGAAAATGGATGGATGGATTGCATAATTGTCATCTCATTCAGAGTGGGTGGTGAGCGATCCAGGGAGATGATGTAGAACAGAGCGTCAATCAAGTGAATCAAGGACAGAGCCCTAGGGAAATCACCTGTGCCTTAGATATTCACAGATTTTAGAAGACTCATTTCACTGGACTGATGGCAACATAATTGTAGGTGGAAGGGTAAAGAGCCAGTAAGAAAGGAGTAGTCAAGGCTGCAAGGATAAACACTGTCCAGGAGCTTGACTGGTAAGGAAAGAAGAGAGGTTTAGGTGGAGGAGAAGAGTATAGGCTTAAAACAGTTTCTTTTTTTAAAAGTCTGTTTCTTTATTCCCATTATTGTTTTAAGGCAAAAGAGAAATGAACTGGAAAGATTGGTTTCTAGAAAGGAGTCCATCAAGAAAGAGGTTTTAATATAGAAAAGAAGTGGAATAGGAAGAAAGAAAGAAACCAAAAAAATGACTAACCAGGCACATTTTGGTTTGTGGAGCCCAGAGCTTATGTAATTTGTGGGGACAAGGTTCTTTAAGAAACAAAAGTTAGATACAGGGCCATGTAAGGGGACGGTGAAAGTCAGAGGCCTTGCATTTTAAGCTTCATTAGTTTTAAGTAAACTCATATCAGTTAGTGATAGTTTACATCCCAGGGAGATGGAGAAAAGAAGATAATTAAAGAGCCTTGGTGTAGGGCTGGTTGCCTTAAACAGGGGAAATACTTCTCTTGAGAATTCCTGTAGCCTGTACACTGCAAGAGGCCAGGGAGCTTGTTACTCTTGTTCATTGATTTATCTGCAGAACTTGATGCAGTCCTTGTTAATAGGTACTCAGTAAATATTTGTCAAATGTTTGATGAAACAGGAAGAAAAATCATGAGATTCAGTGCTAAGATAGCCCAACTTCAATTTTAAGGAGAAAATGGAAGGAAAAAAAAAAAAAGGAGCAACTGTCTTTGTAGTAGATGTGATCCGAAGGGGTATGGCAGTGAAAATGGAACTTGAGAGTAATTATGATTTAGAATAGACACTGGGGAAGGAGGCAGAGTAGACGGAGCTGGAGGAGACTATGGGTGTAATCGGGAGAATGGTTGAGATAATGCAGTCTACGAAAGGACTGAGTCTTCCTACTGTTCAATGTTGCAGATTGTGAAACTGCTGCTTCGTCATGGTGGAAATCCTTTTCAAGCTAATAAACATGGGGAGCGTCCAGTGGATGTGGCAGAAACAGAGGAGCTGGAGTTGCTGCTGAAAAGAGAGGTGCCTTTGTCTGATGATGATGAGAGTTACACAGGTTTGTTCTACATGGTCTCCGTTCACTTGTTTACATGCTATTTTAGTAGAATGTCATACTTCTGCTTTGTAACAGAAAAAGCTGTTCAGAATGGTGAGTTCAGTAACCTCAGTCGAGGTCCTGTCTCTACGTCCTCTGTGTAAATGGAGTCCCGATGCTCTTGCCCTATTTCTCTGATTTCTTTTCCCCACAAATTGCTGATGTCAGATTCGAGCCTGTTGCAGACTCTCTCCCCATTAATAGGTACCAGCACTGCTACACACTGCCACTGCTAGCTGTACCACGTCTGAATTCTTTAAATCCTTTTATCAATTCGAGCACTGCTCACCAGACCCTTCCTGGCATTGATGAGTACCTTTGCATTTTTATTTTTGTGTTTAGGTGGTTGAATTCTGGTCATTGTTGTAAAATTGGGGCACAATTTTACAATCACAGTTTTAAAAAAGGGAAGATCTGAGAAGAGTATTTCAGAAAACTTTTGGCATACTCAGAGTTTTTTAAAAAACCGATAAGTAAAAAACATACCTGCTCCAGGACTGGTTTCTGTCGTGGAAGGGGGAAGTAGTTATAAAAGATATTATTAGATCATTTAGCAAGGAATATGGACAGTAGATTAGTGTTGTTTCAGTGTAAATTCACGAAGTTGGCAACTGTGCTGTAACAAAATAATATCTTTATGTCTTGCAAAATACTCTCTGAAGTATATAGGGTAAAGAACCTATATTATATATATAATTAAGATATAATATATATGTAAATTATATAATTTATATTATATAAACTAAATTATATATGTAATTTACGCTCATATAGTTATGGAAGAATATGTATTTATACACATATGTTATATATAGAGAGAAAGTATAATGCAAGAAGAGTAAAGCATTAACAATAGGAAAACCTAGGTAAAGGATTTATAATGTTTATTATTTTTTATTTTCTAACTTTTTGTGAGTTGAAATTATTTCCAAATTAAAACTAAAATATAAATTTAGATCTGTTGAAAAGATCTAAACAAAGACAGTGGCAGTAGTCATTCCTGGTACCCATATTATAATTGGGAAATATTTTCTACTAAAAGAAAGCCAAACTTTCTTGGAAAACAGTGGATGATGCTAAACTAAGTCTAGGGCAGGAAATATAGAACATCTCGTTATTTCAGATTTCAGATTTTGTCAGAAGGCCTTAGATGGCTTGGAACAGTTCCCCACTGGCCAAAAATGGGAAAGTTTGAGCTTCAATAAGTGTTAATTACAAAGATTTGAAACCCATTGAACATGTTTAAATTCATGAATCTCTCATGGTGAATTTTTAAATTAATTCATGGTCAGCAAAGAACCAGTTTGTTATCTTAAAAAATAGGCAAAAAAGGGGGAAAAGTCAATCATTTCTTTTGCCTCCATATTCCTGTATGAACTCTATCACTGGGTAACCTAATTATGATGAGAAGAAATGTTTTCTTATAAGATTAATCCAGCTAAAAGAATGATAAGAGAGACTGACCACTTTGCAACCAACCCCCTGTTGGTTGATGTCCAGGAGCATTGAGGATCAGTAGTTGCCAACATTAAATTAGAAAGAGAATGAAACCCTTGCCTGCCCTCCTACTACAGGGACAGTCTGCTCCCCTCCTCAGTCCTCCAGGTCGGATCCTGCTGCCATTGGCAGGAGGGGCCCAGACAGAGAAGTGTGCTGAGCTGCACCCAGCATCTTCTCTCAGCTGGATTGTACAAAAAGAGGGAGGACCTGTAGAAAAAAATAAAAATGACTTAAAACACCATATCAGACTTTAAAAAATGGACAAGGCTAAAATTTTAAGTGTGTACTTAATAGGTACTTCTCCAGGGGAATTTTGTACAAAACTCAGTTAAGGTGAATAGCACATGCACATAAAAGGTTCAGGATATTGGGTTTTTTGAAATACTAAGAAATTCTCAAGATGATATGTTAGGGGAAATGTCTGGTATGTTTTCAATAGTTCTGAAAGGGGCCAGTGTAGTGATTGTTCCTATATTCCATTTAGGAAAAGATAAAGGCTTCCACTTAACTATCACCCATCCAAAAGGGGGGCTGATTATAAGGAGAAGAGACATGGGGGAGGGAGGAATAGAGAGAGACAAACATGTTATTTAAAGGGTTGACAGCAGTGTTCAGTAATGGGAATCGTAGTGATGGGAACTAAAACTATAGGAGGAATTGTAAAGGTGGCAACATTCCTTTTTGTGTATATTTTCTCTCCTTCACCCTCCAATAAATGTAGACTGAAGTGTTTGGCACATAGACATTGCTTAACAAATATTTGTTTAATTGGAGGAAGGGGTAATTGGGCCTTAAGGATTATGCCAGAAGCTTCCATTACCCACAACTCTAGAGTCGCTGAACCTGTAGACTGAGTTTACCCATTAAGGAGACTGAGTGGGTCTGGAAACACCTGGTCCGGCAACAGCCAGGTCTCCTCTGCTGCTTTAGCACAGAGGGGCCATCCGTGAGCTCAGAGGACATAGCTGCTGAAGGAAATGGAGATACTAACATGATTATCCCCTAACCCCTGTCACTTCTTTAATTTCAAAGTATGTGTGAATCTATCTGCCAGGTGCAAACTGAAAGTCAGTTGAACATCTTTGTGCTGTGTGAAATAAGGATTATAATAACTGAATTACATAGCTTCCATAGAAAAGTAAGAGAATAAGATTTGAAGAAGAGAAACATTTTATATGTTAATTCTCCCATCTATTATGCCTATGGACTTTGTAATCCTGGTCTCTTCAGAAAACAATAGCAGTGAAAAGCAGCTTTGGTTAAAAATCTTTCTGTGAGAAAAAAGTGCTGCAATAAATTTTTCCATGGAAGAAGTTAAGTATTTTATTTGAACTTACATGTTTCATTAGAGTAAAGCACGTCTTTTAGAACCGTTTTTTATTTTTACTGATACTGTTTCATGTGTTCATCAGCTATGTATTGATTTTTCAGCATACTTATTTTCCACATGGTGAATGTGCCTGAATTATTGCTTGATCAAAATCCCTCAAGGAATGATTTAAAAATCATCAGTAAAAATCATCCGTAAGTATCATACAAAGATTTTGAAGTTGCTGAAAAAGACTGATGAAAATACCCAAATTTATTGTTTCATTTACATGAGGTCCTTGTCAGACTAAACATCATCTAATCTAAATTCAGAATGTATTAATATTTAATTGAGTATTAATCTGACTGCCCATAGACATTTGTACATGTAAAGCCTGACAGCACTGTTACTCATATTGTATGTTATGTCATCCATGTGACAGATACACTTTAAGTGTTGCAAAGTTAGATAGTATAACTGGCTGTGGATTTCAGAACTTAAATTTGGAGTAGATAAAAAGGCATTCTGTAGGAAACATTTTAGAGTTTGGCTTATCCCATTAGATGTTGTGCTTTGTGACAGTGCTGCTCAAAGGCACTGTTCTACAGAGTGTCAGGTCCTCAGGGCACAGAGCTTGTGCCAGAATATACGCCAGTGCACGGCTTCTTTCATCAGAGAGGAGAATGCTCTGACAAGAGGTGTCCTATGAGCTCAGAGTGTACTTGTGATGTCACTGATTTCCTCTGATAGAAGCCTGTTGCTTCATCATTTCATCACACGTTAGTAATAAACAATGTGCAGGATGGCCCAAGTTCATGAACCTCCCTGAGTAGTCATTTTATGTCATGCACATCAGATATTCATGATATTGTTGCAGGAATTCATGTCCTGGTCAGTACAACTGATTTGCATACAAGTGTATGACACTTAAATCTGCATAATTCTGTGGGTTTTTCTCCCTAACCTCTGCCCTTTTTCCACAGTCTTATTCCATATTACCTTCCTGACAGAAATTCTATCTAATAATAGGATTTGCTACAGATATTTGCTTCTTGCTAACCTGCTGAAAGCTGAGTCATATTCAGAGAACCAGACCACGCTCCTGAACCAGAATTACGGTAACGGAGAAGTGGGTGACTCTGTGTCGCACTGCGCCCCTCCCCATGCTTTCTGACTCTCATTAATTGCCAAAGTAGAGATTCTGCTGCAGGTTTGCAGACCCTGTTTTATTGGCGTAAACAAAGTGCCCAGTGGGTAAAGTTGAAAATGCTAGGCATTGTTAAAAATAATTGTTCACCCTTTCCTTATATTGCTTTGACTGCCAGTAATTTGGCCATGTTTATTAAGCCACTGCTATAAGCTTTGCTCACTTGCATGCTTCAAATTAAGCAAGGAAATACTCCATCATAAGTAGGCAGTCTGTGTTTAGAGTCTACCATGAGATAGATTAAGAAACTTCCAAGAAGACAGTGATATGTTGTTTCCCTCTGGTGTTCACTGAGTGCATTTCTGTGTCATAAAATACACAAAATGACCAGTAATTTGAAGCCTTATTTTCTTAATGTTAAAAGATTGTAACTATTCTAAATATATTGTCATATTTGTTAAACTCATATCCTCAGCTTTATATTTCAGGAACTATGAAAATATGACTATTGATTCATGCAGATATGGAATTATAACAGTTAATAAATCAAGAGATACAAAAAACAATTACTTAAGTCAAAATAGACCATAAATTTTTATTAAATGGATTATGTGATGTTAACAATTTAACTGTAAGTAGGAAGAAGACTCACCTTAGGAAGTTTTAAAACAAGCTTCTTTTAACCTTGGAAGCATAAAGACTACAGGTAGAGGTCACATAGAGTAAGCACCGTACTTGGTGTTCAACGACCTTAATTCTTCACCCATCACTGTGGTATAGGTGCTTACAAGAAATGGAAAGGCATGTGATGTGCAGAGGGCTGAGCATACAGCATAATAGGCAATAAGATATTCTTTAGTGATCAATTAAAAGAAATTCCGTCACCATGTTTTGCATACTCTGCTTTTTCTCCTCTGTTTTGTGATATATATGGTACACTTTATACACAGAGTTCTGATTTTAATTCTTCACACGTTTCTCTAAATATCACCAACTACTTCTACC